GATTCTTTTGATAATAAACCACATAAAATTTAGGATGGAATGCTAGAGAAGATTTCATATAGAATACCACAGCAGATATAATTATATTCTTATATTTTTATCTTTTGTTTTGCTTTTCCGTTAAGAAACATTTGGCAAAACTTAAAGGTCCACTGTGCTGTGAGCATGTCTGAAAATATAAATTTGATGATGACCAGACAACAAATTGGACAAAGGCAACTTTGTGGATACAAGCTGTGGTCACACATTCCACAAAGGGGCGTGCCACCGGCTTAAACTCAGGCAAAACTAACTTCCCCCATCGTCACCCCCTCGCGAGATTCCCCTCCCCAAAAAAGAAAAAAACAAAAAAAAAGAAAAGCAAAACGAATAATGAATGCGTTGCTCTGTTGAGAATGCCAGTTGGGCCAACTGACAGGCAGCCAATCCAAGCTCTACTCACAAGTCAATGAAATGTGCGCCAGTATATTAAAAATTAATTAAAAAACATAATAAACGCAACAAACAACAGCAAGTCGAGTGAGTTGACTGAGTACTCGGCATAGTACATAGAAAGCAGAAAGTAAGCAGAGAAATGCTGATTATTATTGTGACCACAATATGACTCAGACTCAGACGCTAAAGACTCGTAGCGGGACGAGCTACGTGAGTTGCAAGCCCAAGTGAAGTTGAAGTCGAAGCGAAGACTTTTGAATGCTAGAACGAATCTCATACACTCAGAGAAAATCTTTGATGGAATCAGTGCTGTAATTTCTAACTTATGGAAGTTTTAATTTGCTTAAGATTACTACAAGTTATTGTTATCCTCCACTATTTGTATATAGAAATATAAAAACCACTTGGAATATGGAAATCTTTCTATCTTTCTTCTAAATCTTACATATGCCATCAAATTGAATTTATTATATGTTTTTTTCAGTGCACAGAACTGTTGGCTAACAGCGTCTGGTAGCAAATTGATTGCCAGCGAGAGTAGAGCATAGAGAATTGACCCACTGGCTGAGCGCAAATGTATCTAACAGATACAAGATACAAAGCGTTAGAATTGTTATAACTGCGCCTCGCTAACTGTGGCAAGACCTCAATATCAATACAGAACTTGGCTTTGGCACGCTTTGGCTACCATTTCGACACCTCGCCGCCGAGTGATTCGACTCGGTGCCAGACTCAACGGTGCCTGGAGGCGCATACTTGTTTCAAATAATACCATAAAATAGCTTGAAGTTTTTTTTGTTGTTTTCTGTTTTGTTTGGTTGTTGTTGTTTTATTTTATTTTTTTTGTTGCCCAATTTGCATAATTAGCGTACATTTCGTCGGCCATTAAACATATTTAACAGAGCTTCTTTAATCACATTTTAAGTGAGAGTTAAAATTATTATTATTGGCTACCTCAAATCTTTTCTTAGCTCCATGGCGAAAGTCTCGAATCGAACATCAAACCCCCTTTACATTATTTAGGTTTGCTTGTGCACATTTTCGTTGCTCTGGGCAACGTCCATCAATGGAACGAGATTCTTGTATCGAGATTTTCTCTCAACAAAGTAACAGAGGTGTTTGCCAGCCACAGTTGCTATTTGCACTGTTCTGCTTGAGTATAGGTAAACATGACAGGTTCCGGGGACAAAAGCAAAGCGGCTCCAGGAATGTATTGGTTTGGTTGGGGGGGAATATGGGACTGCCCTTTATTGAGAGCAGCTTCAGCCAAAATGGACACTGGCTCGAGGTGAGTAAACTTTAGAATGCATTTGTAAAGCCGTCTATCGAATAGAAATTCTTTGCGATTGCAATTAAAAAGAAAGGCAGGAACTGACTAACAGAAAATAGACATAGAAAAATATTTATTATGGTTTCTGACAACAACAGGAAACGGATGTTAAAGGATGACTTAAATTGCATACCATAAATACAAATAATACTTTCAATAGAAAATACTTTAGATAGATATAAGTTTGTCTATTTGCTACGAGCGGAATAAACACAAAAACTACAAAAGTTGTTTTTGTTTTATGGATAAAATATTAAGTATTTCTCTGAGCTCATGTAAATTTTCTTTAATCGCGTTGTAGACATTTTTTCTGCTGCTGAAATCAAGATGCTTCTTCAATCAGTGACTAGTGTATCTATCTGAGGAACAACAAGTTCAAGTGGATATTTGCTGGGCTTGTTGAAGTCGCCAGCTTCAGCCTCAGCGGCTGTCTGAGCATCTTTGGAATGCTGAGCCTCTGCTTGGGCCTGGGAAATGGCAAATGGAGGCACAAACAAACGCAAACCGTAACAGAAGCAACCTATTGAAAATGAAAATGCAGTCCAACAAACAGCAGACAAGAGATGTCTGTCTGACAACAGCAATTTACTACAACTCAACAGATCGTGCAGCGCTGTTTGTTACAGGTGGCATACACTCACCGTCTCAGGCCTCAAGCGAACCTTATCAACGTGAGGCACAACATCATAATAATCCACAACCACAGCCGCATAATAATAATAATAATACAATACAAATCACCCATAAGAGCCACCGATGCAAATATTTACATGCGGTCAGCGATAAGCCGAGATAAGAGCTGCAAAGCTGTAAGTCACACATAGATACGAGAGTTGCAGCTAAAATGCATATGTGTTTAAATGTTATTTTCTTTTCTTCGTTTTTTTTTATTTTTTTTGGGTCTATGTACACAAAGAGATCTGTTTTTCTTTTACCCGGAAGCATTAAAAATGGGTGTTGCAAGCGGGCTACTTTTACTTAAAAACTGGCTTGCATAATGCATATTTCAGTGCAAGCGATACGCAAGAGATACACACTCATTTACAGCTACAGCTACAACTACAGCTACAGCTACAGATACAGATACATAGATAGATTTCATAGATACACGCCCCAAATAAAGCGAGAAGAGTCTCGCTAAACGCGCTCCATACGATCCCAGCGCTAATTCAAACAAATTGCAGCATAAATGCATTATAAAAGGCAGAGGAGCAAACAACCGACAAACATTGTCAATGCGACAAACTGACACTGTGACAGTATATTAAAAGGCACTGGCTGGCATATTATGGAGATGGCCATGGATATGATATAGCGCATCGAGAATGCCGCATACAAATAGAATGCATATGATAAATTACACAGAAAGCTAGTCTCCCCAACAAATTCAGCGCCTGCTGCGAAATGTGGGCACAGTGCACAGTGGCTTGAAAGTGTTATTCAAATTAAATATGCAATTCGAGGAAAGAGATTGGCTAAATGAGTTTTGCATATGCAAATTAAATTATATCACACCAAATGAATACATAATTTCAACTTTTCTAATAATATTAACTTATCTAATATTAAGAAAATGATTTAGGCTAACCTTGGTACACTAACCGTCAATAATTAATGAATATATTAAATTGTTATGACATTTGAAAATGATTTAAACTAATTCAAATTGTGACTATATATTATTAATATAATATATATAAATTTAAAAAAATATTGATTATTCATTCACTATTCATTAGTCACCTGAAGCTAAACACTCGAAAAAATATAAATGAAATATATATTTTAATAAGTAAAGTCAATTACCTAATTAATAATGAAAGTTGCAGAAGATATAGACTAACTGAATGGCAATATATATTTATATAGTATTTGCATAATATAAGAATATTGTTAAAGAAACATTTTTGATAAAGTTTTCGAATTGTTGTCTTGGTTTTCCAATGATCTCCTTAGGTTGAAAATTGTAAACAATTATTTGTTTAATCAAGAGAATATTTTCTAGAACAAACCAAATTGTAGAAATAAGTAGGATTATATTTTTTAAAGCACATTGCCTGCATACAAAACGTTAATTATTAATGCTTGTACACAAAGAGTAGCTCTAAATTTACCGAATCAAACTGAAATCATTTTGCGATACGCTTTAATGCACATACATTAAGCTCGGAGAGTTCATTTGCTGCTCCAATTTGGATGGAAAACTAGTAAAACAGTGAGTTGCATTTTCTATGTACATTTTCATGGCTTAATGATGCTGATGCTGATGTTGTTGTTGTTGTTGTTGGTGTTCATGTTGATGTTGTTGTTGATGATCAGCACCCACTGTGCAGCAAGTGTTTTGTTGTTACTGCTGCTTGGGGGCATGTGCTGCTTGGAGGCAGCTAGCTGATGGGAGTGCAGCTAATTTGATTAATGATAAGCCGAGCTTAACTGACGACGATTGTGATTCATTATGTGCGCACATCCAGCACACTTAGCGCAAAAGATATAGATACACAGATACACTGTGGCACTCACAAAGTAGCCAGTGGTGAATTGCATTTAATAGATTGTTGCCATAGAAGAATGAACATTATTTTATTAGCTTGACAACACATGTTGTTATTGTTGTTGTTGTTGTTGTTGTTAGCAATTGGAACAGTAAATTCTTTATGCGATTTGAACTGCGTTTTTCTATTTTTTTTTTTTCTTCTTTTTGCAATTGAATTTCATGCTGCGAAAAATGCTTTCGTTATCTATGAGATACAATTTAGTTTTGCGGCAACAAGTGCGCCTGATTACATGCAATGAGCCATTTCCTTTGTACGTTGAACTGGCCACGCAATAATAGCATAGAAGAATCCGTTGTTTTAGCTAGCTGATAGATAGATTTGTAGTTTGCCACTTGAACGTAGCAATCATTTGGGGCAGAACAGAGCGGACTACTGATCATCGAAAGAAAGGCGGTCTACAGACATTAAATATCGAGTGCTATCTATCAGAGATATGGGTCAAAAGTTCGACAACACATTATGCATTCAAAAAATGCCTCTCAAATTAAATAATAGTTTTTTGAGCGGCTTATCAAAGTGCTCATTTCGGGAAAATTTGCCTGTAAGACGAAGATTTGTTCTGTCTTTTAATATAATAAAAACTGTTCAAAAACCCATAAGACAAAAGTCGCCAAAATCAGCAATAATAATTATAATAAAATATATTTTATTATAAATATTTATGTCATTAAAAAGAGTAATCATTATTAATGTTATTATTTATTTCTTGAATTATATAATGTTCAAGTCTATGTTGCCCTTGTTCGTTATGTTTTAATTGCTTTCGATGTTGCTGCTGCATTTGTTAGTTGTTTGCTTTGCTTTGTTATTAATAATTGATTAATTTTCATGATGTTTTTGTACGTTTTTTTAAAATGTTTTTTGTTTCATATTACTTTCGCTGCTTCTGCTGCTTCTCCTGCTCCAGTTTGGCCTTCGCTTCTTCCTTCAAGGTCTTATCGCGTTCCTTTTGCTTCTCGTCGAGACGCTTCAGCTCCTCCTTCTCCCAGGTCTCGAACTCCTCGCGCTCCTGTACCAACTGGACCAACTCGGACATTTCGCCATCGCTGATACCCTGATCGATGTCCTTCTGCATGAGCTCAACCTCGCGGGCCATGGCCTCCTTGGCCTTGCGGCGTCGCACCTTAAGCTCCTTGGCCTCGACCAGATTCTGATGATGCTCCTCTCGCTTACGTTTCTCCTCCTCACGACGCTCCTCCTCCTTGGCGAACTCCTCCATCTCGTCGTCAGTGTAGGGATACTCTGGCACAGTGGCAAAAAGCGACATTTTACCCGAGCATAGAACAAGCGCAATGCTGCCAATCAGTCCCAAAATGCCGGATAATAAAACCATATTATATTTGGAGTTTTTGGCATTCCATGCCTTGAAAAAGTCACCCTCTGGCTGGGGCAAGTCACTGAAGACGGCGTGGGTGCCACCACTTGGAAAAAAGCCCGGTTTTGGCTTAGGCGGCTCCTCTTTGCCACATTTGGGCGCCGTCTTCTTCGGTGCCACTCCGGCCAATCCTCGGGTTAAATGCACAAAACACCGATTGGTGCGCACTGATTGTTTAGCTGCTGTTGTTTAGATTGCTTAACATTCTTTTTGGAGGCATACTTACAGTAATCACGAGGCAGCAGCGATGTGGCAGCCATCAAAAACCTGGACATATTTTGTAAGTTTTACCTTCGGTTTTGCTTCGTAATAAATATGTGACTGATGTAAAATAGAAATAGTTTTTTTCGATTTGCCATCAATTTTCACAAAGCTTGCTTTGTTTTATTGACTTTTTTGGTTTGACTCAGCTACGTGGATAGTTTACAATCGATTCCGGATTTACAACAAAAGCTTCTGTAACATCTTTAAGCACAAGTCGAACACGCCCATTTAGGTAAACCTATTTCTTGTAAAATTGAACGCATTTTCTTGATAACAAAGAAACAAAGTGCCAGAGACAACAACAACAACAACTTGGAAATCTCAGACAATAATTTACACATGTACACAACTATGTACACATGTATGTATGTATTTGTGTAGGTAGGTGCATCAACCAAAAATATAAAAAATGAAAAAAGCTAAAAGCTTATCTCTGCAAGAGCAGCAGCAGCAGCTTGGGCCCCAAAAAAAAAGAAGAAAAAAAACAACATTAGCATGTTAGAGCGCATCAAAAATTTCATGGAAATTTATGACGCCTAAATAACAAATCTACAAAGGTGTCACGTGCGCTACAACAACAACAACAACAACAGCAGCAGCAGCAGCAACAACAACAAACAAACAAGAAACTTGTCAAAATTGTTGAATAAGTTGAGACGAATGCATAATAATAATAAAGACTGGACAAGACAAGACCAAAAGTAGTTCGCTTACAGTGAAAGACACAGAGACAGAGAGAGAAAGAGAGAGAGAGAGAGAGAGATAGAGTGTGAGAGAGAGAGTGAGAGGGAGAGAGATAAAGAAGCTAAAGAGAAGCTAATCACGTCACGTCACGTCGAGAATGCGGTCAACAAACTTGTTCCCCGTTGCATTTGTAAACGTTCCACAATCGTAGTAGGTGTATTTATCTCTCTTTCTCCCTCTCTCTCTCTCTGTGTGTGTGTGTGTGTGTAGGTGTTTGTTGTGGGTGGATGGAAATAAGTTGCAATATAGTCGTATAACTGTTAAACGCATTATGCTTTATGACATCTATAATATGTATTTTGAATATCAGCCTATATGCATCTTTCGATCTTCATTCATTTCCGACTTTTGCTTGCGCTTGCGTAGACCGAGGCAGACATAGGAAATCAAAGCTATGCAGCCATATAAAAAGGCAGTCACATAGCAGCGGAGTGCAAGCATTCCATATAACCGATCCGCCTCCGAGCGATACTCTTCCAAGCTGCCATAGTGCTCGGCCAGCGGCAGAGAATGTATGAATGTTAGTGAATTCGTTGTATATGCGATGCCCATCAGCAGCATCTGAATTGTGGCCCAGATGCTAATCACCAAACAGAACAATGAACACTTTTTGCCACAAATGCAAGCCATACTGCAAAGCGTATTTGTAGTGTTCATGTATGTACTATATGTAGTTAAATAGATATAAATAAATATGTATACTATATATATATATATTGACAGCTTTAGCAAAACCACACACTGATCTCTCTCTCTCTCTCTCTCTCTCTCTCTCAGAAATCAGAGAGACAGGTGCAAAAGCGGACATGAAATGAAAAGTTTGTTTCCGAGTCGGGCGCAACTTTTGTCTAACCTTGGTCGAATTTAATGACATTAGATCTCGGCGTACAAGATTGTGAAGTTCATGTGTCACACACACACACATACATGTATCTATGTGAACATACATTAACTTTTGGTTACCACTCGCTTTCAGTTGCGGTTGCGCTTGTGGTGTGTTTTGGGTTGTTCAACCCAAACACGCACAAAGCTTTTCAATTGGTTTCCAATTGCGGATTGACAGCTAAACGAGTTGAGTTTTTGCTCTTCAAAGAGAAGCTTACCAAATGTAAATGATTAATTTATAAGACATATGTATGAGCAGAGCATCTTGAGTGAATTGAATACTTTAAGCTTAAAAAAAAGTACCATAAAAAGAAATATAAATTCCAGATAAAAATAGTTTTTTTCTGTGCCTAAAACTGATTTCAGATAAACGAATAAAGTTGGCAAAGCTTGACCAAAATGTGTCATAATGGATGATAAAAAAATAACGTGTTAACAGAATAGAAATTATGGCCATTTCCAAGCTGAATCATTTGAGTGATGGATCAACAATAAAATCAATAGCTAAAAAAAGCAAACTTGTGCAAAATTTGAATACAACAACAGGTTGAACATTCCACAAGTTCAGAGCAAGATGCCTGCATAATTCTCAAATAAACGCTCCTTAATAATTCCAGTTTTAAGCTGTTCTACAAATTTTACATTTTATGCATATTTTGTTGGGTCAATAATTGAATAATAAGTATTATTTATTTATTTGTCTTTTGTGCTTATCACTTTATGTTAATCTCCCTATATGATCACAATTATATGATTACAATTAACTCAACTCACCGTTTTCCAAGCGTTTCCAAAGCCAAAAAATATGACAATAAATGATTGTTTGCAAAGTAAATTTTAAAAATATGTTGCAAACATTAAATTATTATGAAAATCCAATAGTCGATTTTGCCAGTTGCCAATTTGATATTTTTGTTGCTATTTGTTTGCACCACGGTCTTATGTGTAGTCATTAATTAGTTTTATGACTCACAATGGCTTAATAATGTTTATATTTTCCTTTCGCATGCAATTTGTAATATCTTCAATTAGAAGTAGTCATTAATTGCTCAATTTGAACACTTGGTCTACAATTTTAATAAAGATCATTAATTAGAGAGACGAACTGCAGAAAAAAAAAGAACTTAAGAATATTTCCATTAGACTATATAATTCAAAAATTGAGAATAGGCATCTAATTGAAAGCCATATCGTAATACCCAAATGGAGGTCAAGTCTGAAATAAGAAACTTCCAAAAAATATACCAAAAAAAAAAAGAAATACACCTTGACATTAGGGTGTTTCGTTTTGAACTTGGTTACTTGTTTCAACTCTTTTTTTTTATTACATAAGACACAATCAGAAATCAATCAAAGCTTAGAGACCCAATTTTATGGGAGTTGGAGGACAACAATGACAGATATTTGATTGCCTAATTCACAAATGAATAACCATTGTTGTAATATTAAATATATATATATATTAATTGTAATTTTTTGCTAAATTCAATACTGTTTTTCCTATATTTCATATATATTTTCACATCTACTGTTTATATATAAATATTTTTATATAAAATTTTATCGGTGTTCCTTATGAGTTTTTTTTCCCCCTTTTCATTATTTTTTGTTCACATTTGTTGACATGTGCTCGGTTTGCAACGTCTGAATTATAATATTGGCTCAGTTATCAGCCGGGCTTTTATCAAAACAATTGCAAAATTCAAATGCAAAGCGCAGCAAATTTATTATTATATTTATTATTTATTATCTTTGGAAGCGAACTTGCTCAACTACAGAGCAGAAAGTTATATTTATTCACAACATGTATGTGTGCATTCTGATAAGATGGCATTGCCAATAACAAACACTTTTCTTGTTTCTGTTGTTGTTGTTGTTGTCATTTGTTTGTTGCTGCTTCTCTTTTATTTGTTTTGCATTCTATAAATGAAACACTTGTTGAAATGCACAAGACAAGCACACACACACACACACACGCACACACACACATTTGCAAGCAGAAAGAGCGCGCACGTCTTTGAATTGGAGCTCGGCGTTTGTACCGTATAAAGCAGACTGTGGCTGCACACAAAAGCCAAACAAAACACGAAATTGTAGGCAGTAACAGAGGGAGAGAGTGAGAGAGAAACAGCGGCAGACCGAAAACGAAGCGCGACACAACCAACTTGCTCCACGTTCGCTGCTGGAATGAAACTAGTGAGCGACCGAACTTAACATTGGAGAGCCAACACAACACAATATGTTGTGTGTTATGTGGGAGCCTGCATGCAGGTCCATATCTGGCATTGCTGTTATTGGCGTTTGGCGTTGTAGACTACAGGTCTGTCAGAGCTGAGATAAAAGCATAGCATTAATGAAGTGATTTATGAAAACTTAAGTAATTTTAATAATAAGTGTCATTTCATAGTCCATAAAAAACAAATCTTTATTACATTTATATTTATATTTTCAATTTTTGAGCTAAATATTTATACTGGAAATATTGCGACTACAAAAAATCTCTTAAGAAAATTCAACAAAAAACAAGTGCAGAAAGAATATTTTAAATTACAACAATTAATATCTTTTAGCCAACTGCTGATAGGCCATTTGTTTGTTTGATAAATTAACAGAGCACTGTTAACGTAACATCAAATGTTATATGCTCACAGAGAGCAACAGGCTGCCGCTCAACAAGTGTGTGCTGTCAGACACAAAGCTGACAGCTGTGACGCTGTTACACTAAATGTTATTACAATGCTAATGTGTCGATATTTAAACTTAAATAATAATAAGTATTATTATAAGATATATATTTAAGAAGAGTGGTAACAAGACATGTATGTGTTTTATTTTATTTACTGCACTTTTTATAACAAGAGTTTCGACGAAGAATTTATTAACATTATCCATTTTTTATTGCTATATCATATTATCTTTGAATTGAAATGGTCTAATTTGACACTTAAGCAGTGAATTTATATCGACGTAAATTTGCCTGCCAAATAGTTTTGTTTCTAAGCAGATTTCCTGTTTGCTTAAAAAAGAAGCAGTAAATTAAAGCTGAACATTTATGGCAAATTAAGCGGCAATGCTCTGAGCTATTTTTCGAGCATTAAAAGCAGATCTGCGTCCGCTAATTTGGCCGACAACAATCGCCTAGCCAAATGAACCATAAAACAAGTGTGATCTGACAATGGTTCGATCCGAGTTTACGCCCATGCTTAGTTAGCATAACTTACATTTCGAGTTCAGACCATAATTGAAACTACTATAGTGCGGACTGTCATTTGCATATCCAGTCAATTTATAAACCATATATCGAGATATATACTTTAAGCACTGCAAAAAAAGTTGGTACTTTACATTTACGTAAACCGCCAAAGGAAGCTTGTCATATTTATCAGAAAGAGAATGTTTTTGCAAAGGGAATAATTTCTAAATTAAATATAATATTTTATTTATTTTTATTACTTAAATAGGAATAAGAATTTTACATTTTTACCAGAGATATACATTTCAAGTGTTTTCCAAATTCAAGGTCTTCTTTTTTGCTTCCTCTTTTTTTAAGTGTAGGAATAGATATTATCGCCTTATAGGTTCATCAATAAATACTTTCGCAACCGATTTGGCGGATTTCCGCTCCCAAGCTACTAGAATTTCCACACAGCCGCACAGCTCTTGATTAGAGAAAAAGCAAGATAGAGAGAGAAATAGAGAGAGAGAGAGAGAGAGAGAGAGCCTTCTCGAGTGCTGGCTGGCTGTCGTCTTAAAAATTAAAGCTGCTGGTCATTTGATACTGCAGACAGGAGATGAAGTTGGGCCGAGTGCGAGGCGGAGTCTTTCGTATATGTTGGGGAAGCATAAGCACTCCAGCGATTAGCATGTTAAACAGCGGCTGCTTAAAGGCTATAATTAAGCGACATAAACTTGGGTATTAGGCGCTAAATACACACAAATACACACACACACACACACACACACTGGGCCCGAAAAGCTTTACGTGTGGAAGTGAAGGAGGAGTGTGGGGAATTTGAGAAAACGGCCTCCGTTTCATGATTTGCATAACTGTTTGGCTGGGGCACGCACTTGAAGTCTCGTTCTTCTTGGTTCTGGGTGTGAGTCTTTCAGTCTGGCTTGCATTCGAAACAGACGCGGACGGTAAACGAAAAACGGAGGCAAACAGATACACACTCACACACACGCACACATATGTACACATACACACAGTGCAACACACATTGATATGCACCTGTCCACATACGCGACACGTTGGGCTTTCATTTGCTGCCTAAGAAAGAGTAAACATGAAGTCGCCAAGTCGCCAAGTCGTTTATTCTATTCACCACAACACACTTGCCCCTTGGCCATTATTCGTATTTGAATGCAGCTTGCGATGAGCTGAGCTAAATATTGCCTATTGATTTCGGTTCTACACAATAAGATTTAACTTTAAGCCTAACCCTAAACAATGAACCAGTGCTTCAAGAAAAGAGACCAGAACATTTTAAAAGTATCTCTTTCAAATACAAAAAAAGTAATCATAATAATAATCAAAACAATAATAATAATATGACTCAGAATAAATTTGTAATAATCTTTCGCTTTCCCCTAAAATTCATTGTGTTTTTATATACATTATAAAAATTAAAAAAAATATATAAATGCAACGCTGAAAAAAATAATTAAAATAATAATCAAAACAATAATAATAATAAAATTACTCAGAATAAATTTGTAATAATCTTTCGCTTTCCCCTTAAAATTCATTATTATTTTATATACACAATGAAAATTAA